ATTCGGGATAAAAAATCTCTTTCATAAGATGTATAATAATGTACTGTTCATAGATGATTTACAGAATAATTAGCAATTTTCTAGGTGAAAACATTTTTGTTGACTCACACGGTATGACTTTAAAAGTAAGCAGAGGCAATCCACTTCCTTCTACCTTGCAGAAACGTATGGAAATAACATTTCATCTCATTTCACCTTTTTTACAGAAATGTAAGTGCACGGCATTCTAAGACATCGGTTCATGATAACACATTGCAAAAAGAAATGTAATTAGCGTTCAAATAAAAGTGTTACATTTTTTCTCTTTCTTACTTTAGTAAATAGTTGAGTTCGATTTTTCTATAGAATCAACAATTTATATCACCGTAAAGAACAGTCTTACTTGTTGTACACTCAAAACGATGGTATTATCTAGAGCCATTAAAACATTCTGAATGATTCATCAGCAGATAACTTTAAGGTGTTAGTACACGCAAGGAGTCAAGCACAATTTTACACCACCATCTCCTTTAGGGTGTAAGTGAGAACCTTTACGATTCAAAATTATGCTTAAAACTCTAACGATGGTGTTACAAGATTTCAACACCTTTTCCGAACTCATTCTCCCCCCCCCCCCCCATCATGTTGGATTAAAGATTTTCATTCTACAAAATATGACGTCAATATTCAGACGATTAGTGCCTTGTTCACTAAACAACATTAAGTCATTCTTCTGCCCAATGTAACCATATATAGTGTCAGACAAAACACACAACATTATATAGCAACCATTTACTAAAAATCAACTCAGGGGCAAATTAAATACCTTATTGGTATATCCGATAGAAATCCTGTTCACTAAACGTAATACGTCTTTGAAATATTCGCACGTTTCAACAGGTGACTTGTGTACAGGGAAATTGAAAACGCGTTTCTTTGATTTTTCGGAAGTAGTTGCGATCGGGTTACTATCTTTGCTTTTCAAAGGTGTTAAGATATTGATTTGATGAAACGAAAGTTTTGGGCAAAATACATTTGACAATTGGTAGATTCGAATTTCAAACAAAATAATTAAAATGAAAAATATTTTGTTATTCTTTTATTTTTTCTTTGACTTATCAACCTCGGCATACAACTCATCTACATTGAATACCTCATCCTTAGGCAAGTTCGATGTCTGTCCTGCCTCTGGAGTGGCTTTCAAGGTATTCCTCATGAGTCCTTTATCTGGCATGTCATAGAGCGGAATCTCCTCTGCATCATCTCCTGATCCTGTCATCTTGACATTATCATACGGGTCCCCTTGCTCAAGGACATCCCTGTTTTGCCATTGTTGAGTGATGATGACGCTGTTGCCATATAGATGATCCGAATCGGAAGATTTATCAGTAACTTTTGATGTTGATTGTGGCTCACGACTGATGGCCGCCCTTTTGTCCGGCATTGTATAGAGCGCGTTGTCCAGCGGACCTTTTATTCGGGAGATGGAGCTATCATCAATCTTGTCTGCAGAAAAATACAGAATATCATCAATCATTTCACCATTTTCTTGATGATCTGTCCTTCGTTGATTCAAGCTGGTTCCCCTTAATTCCGTAGGCAAGGTTGATGTATGTCCTGCTTCGGGAGTGGCCTTTAAGGTATTCCTCATGAGTCCTTTATCTGGCATGTCATAGAGCGAAATCTCCTTTGCATCAACTCCTGATCCTTGCAGCTTGACATTCTCATAGGTCCCCTTGGTAAAGGGCATCCCTGCTCTGCTCGTGTTGAGTGATGATGACGCTGTTGCCATAGAGATGATCCGAATTGGAAGATCTATCAGTAACCTTTGATGTTGATTGTGGCTCACGACTGATGGCCGCCCTTTTGTCCGGCATTGTATAGAGCGCGTTGTCCAGCGGACCTTTTATTCGGGAGATGGTGCTATCAACAATTTTGTCTGTAGAATCGTAGGGAATATCATCAATTATTTCACCATTTTCGGTAAGATCTGCCCTTCTTGGATCTAAGCTGGTTCCCCTCAATTTATTAATGGAAGAAGCAAACTCTGGACCCTTCCGAGATCCATTTTCAACTGATTCGTAACAAACTTCAGGATGCTCCTTTTCAATCGACGGATTGCCAATGTGTTTATTTTCTTGTCGATGACTCTTTTGCTTACGTCGCAGAACAATAATAATAACAATCAATATCAGAATGATAGCAGAACCAAGAATGACGACAATCATGGTTATATTTCCATTCCTCGTGTTTTTGTCGGAATTGGGATGCTGGTTTGTTGGTGTGTAAGGTTTTGTTGTAGAAATTGATGTAGGTCTACCGACGGGCAATTTTTTTGAAGCAGCTGTATATGATAATGTCGATGGTCTATTTTGCGTGGTTTGTTTCAAATAGGTCGTTGGTAGCGGCGCAGTCGTACGAGAGGATCGTGGAGTGGGCTGAGTTGATAACATGCATGTGATCCCCGCCGATTCGGTCTCAGTTCGCAGACGGAATTTTGAATGAATGTTGTTTAATTTTCTCACGGAAATCGGAAAAGAAAAGGATCTTCCTTGAAATAAAGCCGTCCGATATTTGTTTCCGTTCAAAGTGATATTTCGAGAAAGCGTCTGTTTTGTCCAATAATTATCCAGAGTACAATTCACTCGCACTTTATTGGGATTTGAAGAGCTTGCTGTAGTGCAATTAAAACATCTAATTACACGTAAGTCATACGACTGAAGGGTATTATTATAATAGTCAAAACATTGGAAGGTAGCCGAATCACTAAACCTGATGTTAGAAATGTATATATTGTTAGAATCAACATGGCCATCGTCGATATCACTATTACCTTGTGTAAAACGAGGATCATTAATAATGAAACCGTCCCAGTTGGCGAGTAATGTTCCATTTCTATACCACCACTTGTAGTTGTCAACAGTACCATTAGGTCGAGAACAGCCTAGGGCAATATCATCTCCGATGTTAGCTAGTTTTAGTATAATATCACCTTCCGCTCTGCATGCAAGATCCTCACAAAAAAATACGACAAACGCAGTAACAAAAAAAACCCAACACACTTGAGATCGCATGAACACCATCTTAAAGTCAAGTTTACGAATATTTATGAAAAATCGAAATCTCAGAGGGCAATATTAGATGCGCCTTCATCGTTATTGAACAATGTAAGAGAAGTTTACCTCTCGCGGCGTCAAACTAGGTAACTGCTCGTATTGCTTTGATCGGTTAAAGACGGTGAAGTATGATAATAACTGTTTGATCATTGTCTGCATTCAATGACTTAGTTCGTGAACTCGATGGTGTTTGACGAGAATGACGTTTTGAAGCAGGTTCTGATGAAAAGTGCGTGCGTAGGATTGGTCCGATTTGAAGAACGGAACTTCTTTTGTTCTTCTGACAATGTTGTCATAAAACCTCACCACAACACATCATCGAAATGTCATTTTTCCTATTATGTTTTGTCGCTGTAGTGGCGTAGTATTACTTTAATTTCGTACGTTAGGTTCCCGATATATTGTCAAATGAATAAGTTTGGTCACATCGCTTGATCCGTACCTCCAGATGTCAATGTTCATTTGATGTGAGAATCTATACCTAACGGTGACCTCGATGAGAATCTGAGTCATGATCACTTGTTACTCGTCTTGGTGATGGGTCTCGTATCCGTTATTCTAAAATAATGTTTTTAATAATCGTAACATTCACGATTCATCATGCCTTAAGTTCCGCGGCAGAGCCAGTTACAAAAAAATCTCAACGCTGTAAACAAAAGAAATCAAAAATGCTATAAGCTATAACCTCATAGTACATGTATCTCGTTTGTTAATTAAATGGCAACCGGTAAATGTATTTTGCCCTCTTCAGTCTAGATATGTAATAAGACTTCAAGTTGCTTGACAAGGAAATGACATTTGTTTTCAATACAATAGTACCATCGACCGTCGAAACAAAATCTCTTTATAGAAACCTAACGAAACAAAAATTGAATTCATCGAAAGTATCTTTTTAGCATTGTAATATGTATTTAGGTGATTAGATGAGTAGTTACATTTTGATCAACCTTGAAACTTTCTCTCACAAACTAGGCGTGGCGTAGATAGTACTTCAGTATTGTACAGAACCTGAAGTGTTTTTCTGTAATTATTTCCTTATTAGGTAAATGAAAATAAGGCCATTAACAACGTTGACGGGAACTCACCTTGAAAAACCTCTTACCCAAACACAAGTAATAGGAGTAAAGCATTAGGAGTGGCAATGTGCCAGATATTATTTCTATACAAGACTCCACCATTATTACTAGTACTTTTCATTATCATTTGTTCTGTTGTTAGTTAATCACATTCGCTACACACGAGATTTCATTTTGAGTGAGTTGTAACTTGTTCTTTCTATTATAGAAAGAACAAAACAAAATATTATCATATTTTCTCTCATCATTGTATTTAAATACTGTATTTAAATACATTAATGAGAGAAAATATGACAACACTTCTTAAACTTGAAGAAGTTTGTAGGCCTACTACTTATATCAAGATATATGTGTATATTCATTGATATGAAGATCGATCGAGTAGCTGTTTAGTGAGGCTTTGAAAGGTATATAATATATACCTTCATATATATAATAAACGCTAAATATTTGATGATATTAATTAAGCGAATTGAAAAGAAATGAAAATATATCATCTCCTTAAAATCTGCCCTCACCATTTGAATTAAAGGGAGAGAGAGAGAGAGAGGGAGAGAGAGAGAAGAGGAAGGGCGATGATGATAGGGGTGATTCGAAATCTGACTGAATACTAACGCAATCTCCCCGTATTAGCTGCTCGCCGAAGATGGAGCCCCACACTGTCCGCTAGAGGATTTCTTTCGTAATTGTTAAAACATATTTGTTTTGTGCAAGATGTACGAGTTCAATAAATCACGCAATATTTGAGTTACATCACGGTTGCAATCTAAGCATTAGCATATAAAGGTCATTGTAGAACGAATTGTGAAATACACGGAGACGAAATACTGGATGCGTGCTAATGAAAGTTATGTAATCATTATTCATTTGCACAAGCAGTGCACTCCATGATACACAACTGGAAGTGGAAGTATACTTTGAAAAGGGAAATAAAAGGCTACTTATGTAGCACCTCCGTCGCTGTAGGAGTTATTATTTCAAAATGTACAAAATGGGACCTCTTTATGTTGTGAAGATCTGTGGATATCCGGGGTCATTGCAGCCATGTGCTAACCGTGAACTGGTCTATTGTGAACTAGGAACAGGCCAAGAAGGGCGGAAATCCGAATGCCCTACTATTTGAATGCCCTGCCCTATTGCCCCTATTATCCTGTTTGAACTATTCAACACACACAGACCGATAGCGGTCAAGGCTTTGGGTAGCATTGTTGTCGAAAATAAGGGTACGGTATGATGTTTATTCTTTTTCAACGTGTAAAACCTGTTTAACGGAGACCGGTCAATTGCATGTAGCCTACGCGATGAATGGTATTGCGTTCATTCGGCCTGTACAGTAATTTACTACCTATTTATTTGAACGTGGAAGAAATTATAGGATTGATCAGTGAAAAGGAAACCCTCCATCATAACAGGTAGGTACATAATATATTACCATACATAAACAATACCAAATAGGGTTAATAACGAGATTTCATACTGTATGTGCATGTGGCAACCATTTGGCCGAATGCGCAGCATGTACTGCATGGACGCTGTGTATCTCTTAGACATAATAATAAGTATCCGCGCTTCTACCTTTAATACACAAACGTTATAATATGATTTTCACATTCACAATTAAATGAACAATAAACGAGTTCTTTTTAGATGTCTGTAAATATATATGGTTGCGCAGAATTTTCGTTAGTTTATATATTCCACGGTTTAGCCAGTTGAACATGTTCTGACATTACATGATAGGCTGATGAATTAAAGGATATTGAGAGACTGTTGGTTGCGGAGAATCATGGGAAGTCTACATTCCGCGGTTTCAGATCGAGAAGCCTGTTGAAAAAGTTCTGTCACTAAAACATAAACAATGTCAAGAATTCTTACTTTAATAAGCCTCGTAATGAAATACTTCATTACGGGAAAATTGTGTATAAAAAACAAAAGTTCTATTCCAATGATGTTTTTGAATATTAAGCCAAGTCTATGATTATTTTTTTCTCCCCCCCCCCCCCTCCCGTGGTTATTTCACGAAATCCAGTTACAAAAATGTCTCCTCAAATAGTGCTGATGACCGGCTGCTCATCGGGTATCGGTCTAGCTACAGCTAAACGTCTCGCTCTCGACGCCGAACAGCGATACATCGTCATCGCTACAATCATAGCGATATCGGAGAAAACTGATCTGTAAGCTGCCGTAGGGGACGCTCTACAGAAAACAATTTTCATCCAGGAGTTGGACGTCACAAAGGACGATGACATCACAGCTGTAGTGGATGGAACACTCAAAACGCATGGGAAAATTGACATCCTTAGTGAGTGCACTTTTTCTTTGGCTAATATCAGTCTGTCATACTGGCCGTCAGGAGCGTATAAATGGTTTAGTAGGAGAGAATAATAAATAAAACAAGAGGGGGGGGGGGGGCAATTCCGAAAATGATGTCATCTTGAGCTAATTCTATTTGCTGTATACAATACCAAAATAATAGAACAGACATCCTTATCCAATACTGATAGATTTATTTACCGTTAGTGCTAACAGTGATAACTCGTCTGTCAACAGATGTGAGTAAATCTTAGTTTATGACCAAAGGTCAAAGGGGATCGGTAATGTAATATCCAACATACGTCAGTTCACGTATAATTCGTGTTCTGTTATAACCGTTTTTGTTAAAGGAATAGTTGAGTTCTGTTGCAGAGGGCGCTACACAAAATGTTTGTTTGTGAGATAATGAAAAACTGAGTGTCAAATCTGGAAGAACATAATATTTAAATGACAAAATCATCTTTGTTTGATCAAAATCGGTTCAGAGACGCTGAAATTTAACCATTTATAATACTTGTGTATCGGGCCACCACAAATATTAGATATTTTGTAAAATTCGAAAAACCCGTTGAAAAAACGAAATAACGCCTTTAGAACTCCTCTGTATACCCATACCCAATTTTTCCAGAACCATCCTGATTATGTTTTTTTTCCTACTTCCTTAGGTTACCCGTATTTGGATATGTACTGCTCCACTAAATTTGCGCTCGAGGGTTTCTTTCAGAGTCTGGCGGTTTCGTTACGCTCATTCAATGTCAGGTAAGGATCCTTGAATATGATGTTTACTTTTGTTAAAGATGGCAGAAGAAACATATCCTTCTTAAAGGGGTTGTAGCATTGCAAATACTGGTTAACGCCATCTACGACTTCTTTTGGACAATTGTTAGTAGACGAATGGACTCGCTTAACAGTCAGCGCGCTTTATCGTTCGCGAAACAGACCTAAGTTCTCCTCACGTTTTGGTTTCGCGTATATTGCACGCACGTGAAAACTGCGGTCGCGTTGTCCGTAGTCGTATTTTACCCTAGTCCAGCTTCAGTCCGTTCGTTCTTTTTATCCCCCACACACAGCGCGGTCTCTCCACTGATCGCGCAATCCCCAAATTTCCGTCCACCAAGATTTAGAGGAATGGCTAGGTCTACTTTCAACGTTGAGGATGTGTTATTTTATCAGCTGATTGGGTGCGCTAAACGAAAACGGTACAGAGGCTGCACTAATTTTACCCTCAAAGCTGTAGCCGTGAACATTTTGGTAAGGTCCACAAAGTTAACATAATACGTGGATTGATAAATAAGACCATTGGGTTCTAATCACTATGTAATGGTCTTTCCAAGGTATGCTGTAATTATGCAAACACCTTCTAGTTCTACCTAAAGTTTCTCCCCTCATTGAGCATTTTCACTTCCTTGTCAATGATGTAAGTTAAATAATATAGCATTCGAACAATACCAGATTAAAGCCTCACTCACGGCTTGTCGTGTTTATTCATTTATTTTCACTAACGAAATACATTTATTACATACCGATGTCCTTCTAATATCCACCATTCTGAATTAAATGGGGATACAATCATCATGATTTTGACACTTCGATAATTGTTTTGATTTACATGTTTGGTTTGACCCGCCTCCTTAGAGTTTGCTTGGTTGAGCCTGGTGGGACTAATACCGGATTCAGTCTTGTCATTAATAATTCCATCGACGCCAGAGTTCAAGACGAGTCCATCGACGACATTGATCGACGTCAGCTTCAATGTTTAAGAGAGACGATTACGAAGAATGAGATTGCGTTGCCAGACGATGTCGCCGATGCGATAACGACGAGGTGTTTGGACGTTGACGAACCCGTCCTCGGACATCTTCTACCGGAGGAGTTACACGATGTCGTTAGGGCAGCGGCGGGCGACGTCACTGGAGAAACCGGCCTCGCCATTGTGCAGAATTCAATAGGAAAATAACAATTAGTTGAAATAATGATAATTTAAATTCAAAGTCAGGTAATGGTTGCTGTATTTGGAGAAAAGCAAGATAATGGAATCCAAATGAAACTTACTGGCATTAGTTTTGATATGTTTATCATGCAGCGAGAAAAAACGTGGCCGACATTTCCTTGAGACAATATGTAATTTGTTGGAAGGATACACGACTCTGAACGATATGGGGCCACACAATGTTCTCATGGTTCTAGCAGGTGATCTCGTCCTGGATTTGCATGCTGTTTGACAAAGAGGCCAGTTAACTTTCCTTGATCATTTTTTGCTCATTCCCCATTTATCATTTATCAAATCAGTTTTGTAAATATCATCAGTATTCTTTAAAATGGTTATTAAAATACATATTCTTTAAATTAAAATGATATTTCATCATTATTTTTCTTATTCTTTTTGTTTCAATGTGATTACATGTTTTATAAAACAAAATCCTATGTCAAATTTCTATGTTGTGTTTTATGGACGAATAAAATGAACTACATCGTTTCCGCTAGTTTATAAAGAGGAATAGTCCAGAATCTGGCTAATCTAATCTTTTTTCACCAACGGCCTCTATTTGCTGCAAGCGGATTTTTTTTTGCGTGATCCCTAAACTTTAACGCCCGGAAGGGGATGGGAGAGAGATCGCGAAATAAAAATCCCCCCTTACATATTCTGGACCAAGTGAGGGAGAGAAAGAGTGGGGAAAGAGAGAGAGAGAGAGAGAGAACGAAAAGACCTTTCTTCACGAACAAAGTATACCTGACTGACGGATGATTGCCAAAAAAGAGATATAGAAAGTGAGAGAGAGAGAGAGAGAGAGAGAGAGAGAAAGAGAGGAGCAGAGAAGAAAACAAGGGAGAAAAGAGAGTTGTATATAGGGAGAAATGAGAAATTGGGAGCAAAGAAAATAAGAGAAAACAGAGACAAAGAAAAGGAGAGAGAGAAAGAGAGAGAGAGAGAGTAAACAAGGGAAGATGAAAATAATTTTAAAAAGGCTTCGTGGGCGAGGGTGGGCTTAGTGTATGTAGGTGGCCGGATGGGTGTATGCGTGTGTGTGTGTGTGTGTGTGTGCGTGCGTGTGTGTGTGTGCGTGCGTGTGCGTGTGTGGGTGTGTGTGTGTGAAGCTCCTCAGAGATGTATTATTGAGGAAGGTTTATGAATACTTTATAGAGAAGTTACAAAATGTATTTGTCTTGAAGACTCATGATGGACGGGAATTTTCAGATTTTTCAAATAAGGTATGTAGGGAGATATTTAGTAGGCCTAGGAAAGTTACTCTTGTTAACAGACTAAGGGAAATTCAGTATAAACCGCTTCATGGAGGAATATGTACTAGAGAACATTTATTCAGATTCGGCTTTGTTGTAGATAACTTTTGCTAATTTTGTAAGCACTTGTTCTGGGAGTGTGTATATGTTCAAAGATTATGGCAAAATGTAATAGCTAAGTTTGAGCTAAGGGAATTAAGGTCTATATCATTTAGGGTTGTCCGGTGACTCCCCACGAATAAAAATACTTAATACAATTATTTTTGCATTGAAATATTGGATATATAGATGCAGGGGAAAGTCAGTAATATTGTATTTGGGGGAGTTTAAAAAAGAACTGTTAGAATTTAGGGGAGAAGAAAGAATATTGCAGGGAGGGCAGGTAAATTGGCCTTACATTTACAGAAGTGGGAACAAGTAAAGTTTTCATGAACTTTTTACACTGGACTATTGTGGCTATTGTAGCCTCGTTTAAATGATTTTGTTTTAAATGTTTTAAATAGATTGTTTCTGTTTTTCTGTCGCTACAATTTGGGGATTCTGAGGGGGCTAGGAACGGTGTGTGGTGGAAGTGTGGTCGGGTGGTGTGTGTGTGTCGCATGATGGGGAGGTGGTGGGGGGGGGGGGTAGTAGTGTGTTTGGTTGGATGGGGTTATTTGTTTTATGTTACAACTGATTTCATTTTTGTTTTTATCAATTGTACAATTTATGTAATGTAAATGTTTTGAATTCATGTCAAGGAAAAACAACTGTACTTTATTTCTAAAAATTAATTTGTATTGTTAGGAATCAATAAAAAAAAAGTTAGCCTACGTTAACCCTGTCATTTCTATATATAAAATTGTTCATTGTCATTTTTATGTTGTTTTCAAACAGAGCCCTGTTGTAAACCATCCTATTTTAATTTTTTTAACAATGTTTCGTAATGATTATGAAGAACATGATACTGTGTACAAAGATGCGAAATAAATAATTTTTAAAAACAATAAACATGACCTGTCCCATCAGTGGCAAAGCCAGTGTGGGGGCCCCCTTAGCAAAAAAAAAAGGTTAAGAAATAATGGTAACGTTAATTTTACCTTTAAAAAAAGAAAAGAAGACGGGGCCCCACCCCTGAGCCTGTTGTTCAAGGGGTTGGGGGTTGGGTAAGGGTCCCCCTCCCCTACACGCACACACTTTTCCCCCTGGATCCGCTCCATTTCGACTTATATTGCTTAGTTCATGTCACTAAATCAAATCGCGTGACTATTTCAGACAAAAAATAATTTAGAGGTGAAGTAATCTCACTTTCTTTATCGGTCTTTCGCTGCGGCCATTCCTCGTGTGTAAAGCGGTCGTCCACGTATTCGCCACCCCTGAGAGCGAACATCATACGGTCCGGCTCGGCGCGACCACGAGCGTTGAAGTACTTGTAGTTTGGCATGATGATTTAAGAGGTTCCATGACACCTACCCCCTGGACATCCACCCCAGGATAACCACCCCCCCCCCCAGTCAACTACCCACTAGGACAACTACCCCCTAGGGCTTAGTTGTCTGGGGGTAGTTGTCTGGGGGTTATTGTCCGGGGTAGTTGTCCTAGGGGTAGTTGTTCGAGGGTAGTTTTCTGAGGGTAGTTGTCCTATAGGGCGTAATTGTCTGGGGGTAGTTGTCCGGGGGTAGTTTACCTGGGGGTAGTCATCCTAGAGGGTGGTTGTCCTAGAGGGTAGTTTTCCTAGGGGGTAGTTGACTGGGGGTGGTTATCCGGGGTGAATGTCCGGGGGGTAGGTGTCCGGATACGGATTTAAGTAAGCGATGCAGCTGGTCCGAGAACATAAAATCTGAGAATTAGATTCGCTAAGTTGTGGAAGGAGCTCATTGATGAAGGCGAGCTTTTCTTCTGGTACTCTTGCTCGGTGATATACCAATAGAAAACACCAACAATCAGTTCGCCTCGCAATATTCGTTTCATTTTCAACCAAAGGTCCTTGCCAAAACGACTTGACCTTTGAATCCATCGTGGATGGAAACTGCGATAAAGAACATTTGTTCATGCAGAGCAGATCAGTTGAAGTGTTCAAGAATAATCCTACAACATTTCGTCGCCCGGCTGGCAGAAGGGCGTTAGCGCGCGAACGACTGGAAAAATACTTTTTTTAATTATTCGCATTTAAAGATTTGTTTTATATTTAAACTGATTTTAGTTCCGACATTTTTTTACAAACTTTAAAGACTAATAGAAATGTTATAATAGAACACGGCCACAATTCTTTTTCGGAAATAAGTATGTTGTATAAAAGTTTTAAGCGATTTAGTGCTAACGCCCTTCTGCGTAGCGCTTCATTTTTTACCTGAAATTCGAGCTAACGCCCTTCTGCCAGCCAGGCGATTTCTGTTTGATTCCGCAAATAATTCATTGTGTTTATCTTTCGTATGTTCTGTCCTGCTTATGTTCCTTTGTCTATGACGCAGATGCTTTTATGTGATCTTTTTTACCCACAAGGTTAGTGCGCCTAGTGTATTTTTAGTGGATTCGGCGCCTTACACATCTCGTATGTTATTATCATCATTCTCATTATTATTGTTATTATTATCATCATCAATATTATTATTATTATCATCATAATTATTACTTTTAGTAGTAGTTGTATAGGTGAGGGTCTAGAGGAGGGACCACTAAATAAGCCCCTCCCGCCAGTCCACATACGAACGCACACGCACACCCAGGTACGCTCACCCACACTCTCCTGTGCACAAGCACGTACAACACACACAACCATGCTTGAAATTCTTTCTTCGTCTTTCTCAATTAGAGACGGGAATAAGCTTTAAAAAACAATCATGAGATGAACAAATCTACATTTATTCTATTCAATGGTTGTAAACATACAGAAAGATCGTCCTTATTGTTTTGTTGTCGTCTGTTATACATATATAATAATTTATATAAAAGCTTTTCTGCTCAACGGTGAATTGTCCTCTACATCATCATTTCTTGCCCACATATAACAAGAAAACACGTAAAGTAGTTGATATCGAAAGGATAAAAAAAAATTGGATGAAAAGAAAATAAGGCATGTCGATCACCGCATTCTTTTTTTAATGAAACAGCTGTGCGTGTACTTCTGCTTTGCATATAGCTTGTAATATTCATGCGTTAAAAAAATATATCAAAACATATTGAACAAATATATGAGATAAAAAAATTGTTTTTTAATCGAAAAAAGGAATATGAATTATATATAGTTGCTTCCTTCCCCGCCCCTCCCTGTACACATTTGAAGGAAATGTTGTATTGTATTATTATTGTACTATGGCCCAAAAAATAGAAAAACAATTTGTAAAAAGACCCCCCCCCCCTGGCTGAAAAAGAAATGGTGCTCACTATCACCCAGCCCCCCCCCCCCGCCTATTCGCCGGCTGATGCGTCGCTAAATATTTTCTCAGATATTGGGCCCCCACCCACCATCGCCGCCGACTGGGTCCGCCCCTATCTTAAAACACAGATTTACAGTAAACAAAAAGCGTGGCGTTTTTTTGTTTTTTTGTTTTTTTGGAGGGGGGGTTCGGCTTCATATTTGAACGAGCCTATTGAATTTATTTGTTCCTTTCGAATTTATTTAAGCCTCTGTGACGGGCCGAGATTCCAGGTAAGACTTGAGAGGACCTTCGTCCCGGAAGGATTTGCAGAAGGCTCTCAGTTGAGGGTAGGAATCCAGAAGGCCCTCTATCTTGTACTTGCTGTTGGTCATCATGTCAAGCATATTGAAGATATGAATATCAGCTAGTGAAACCTGTCAAGCAATGGAAATGAGAAGGTAAGAATTCACACGCAGAACGGAAGGAAACACTGGCGAAATTCTTATGGATAACAATCGTAACACAATGGCAAAGACTATCAACAGCTACTTCAATACCTTATTGTATATCCCATACAAAAAAACAACTTATTACGTGAAAAGCCATAGTATTCTATGCACATTTCAGCACGTGATAGACCGAGCAAATCTAGTAAACCTTTAAACCTGACCTGACCAGAATGCGGACCATAGAGTCTTATTTTATAATCTCTATGCATGCACCTTAGCTAGCTATAAACGCGAGAGTTGTTTGAAGCGATCTTAAGATCTTCAGTAGATCAAGATGGATGCCCACGATACCAACCCAGACCTACCAAGTCTTACGCCTGCAGCTGGTCCCTTATACTTTGTTTTGCATAGTAGAATCAGCTGTTCATTGTATATTGTTTACTTTTTTGTAAACACTATATTTACTTTACATAAAATAGATCAAATTTGAAATGTCGTTCTCTTTTCCAAAGAAAGGACTTAATAATGACTGTGCATTAAACCCATTTGGAAGTGTAGGCCTACAGGTTGATGTAATTGCTTCTCTATTGAAAAAAATGTACATAGTAAATTTTACATCAGAAGCACAATTTGTTTTATTTTACATTGTCAATAACTTGAATGGTAATCGATCCCTATCGCGCTACAAAATGCTCAAGGGATTACGATTTTACAATATTTGATGATATGGGGTACACTTTTTTTAAATATCCGTTTAATGTGGTAGTCTATGCGGTAGTAGACATGCATTCACACTAGTAGCGTTCTACTTTTTAACACTCATTTTACTGATTTGCACTTGGAATATCTGTTTTTGAACTGATATCTAACTTGGAATATCATCAAGACGAATCAATTGTATTCTAAAAGTGGAACATCATGACCGTGTCTTCACACAAGAAGAAGAAATCCAAGTCGTCAAAACGGAACCATGGAGGGAAGAAGTTGAGCGAGATTCTCGGCAACAGCCCTCCCCTAAGCTTCCCGCAATCTAGCTCGGACGAGGAAAGAGAGCCCGATGCTGCTCATCCAACCACATCGGCTTGTCCACAACCCCTTTCAAATACTCCCGCCGAGTTGAAAGACATGAAAGACCTGATCACTGACCAATTAGTGAATGCCTTGCGCTCACCAGCCGTCGTCAAGACAATAGTGGACGCCGTCTATAAGACCGTTTACGAGAAGCTAGCTGATGAATTACATGCTGCATTTCAACTCGACCTACAAGCCAAAACATCTCAACTACACGATCTCGACCAACAGATTCACAAGTTACAGAGAAATGTCAACAGCATCCACGATATCCTTGACGACCAGGAACAATACAGTAGGAGAAGTTGTCTCCGCTTCCACGGAGTGCCAGAAACGGCAAAGGAGAACACCGATTCCGTCATCATCCAACTCGTCAAGGACAAGATGAATGTCGTGCTCCATCCCAGTGACATCGACCGATCTCATCGGATAACGCCACGAGATACCAAAGAAGGTGATACCTCTCCCAGAGTCATCATAGTAAAGTTTGCAAGATACAACGCCAGGGACCAGGTTTACCGCACTCGAGCGAAGCTTCGCCCTACCAAGATCTATATCCACGAAGACCTAACAGCAAAACGATCTCATCTGTTGTACAAAGCAAGAAAACATGACAACGTACAGAAAACATGGACCTCAGACGGCCGAATCACAGCCCTCACGAAAGATGACCGGAAAGTAACAATTCGTTGTGATAATGATATTGAAACCCTATAAACTTTTCCGCATTTTACAAAACTCAGCAGATCTTTCCAATGGGTAAGAAATATCCTTGTATATCATGTTTGAAATCAGTTTATAATAATCAAAATGCAGTATTATGCCATCTCTGTAAAAAGTGGATCCATCTAAAGTGTTCATCTCTAGATAATAACTTTTTTAAGTCAGATGCTGACTGGATATGCGATATTTGTTTGTTTAAAGAACTGCCGTTTAATTCAGATGATTTTGAAGAGACGTGTAATTTTCAGATTAACGATAACCCAAATAATATTCATTTAGATAAAATTCCAACATCAAGAATATTGGAATTAAATAGAAAAGTTTCACTGTAGCCCATTTGAATATTCGTAGCATAAGGGGGAAGTTTGACCATGTAAAAGATATGTTGTATAATAACCCCTTTGATATACTTGGTTTATCTGAAACTTGGATAGATGATTCAATCCAAGATTCTGAACTATATATAGGTGGTTACAATGTAGAAAGGAATGATAGAAATACATCTGGTGGAGGCGTTGCTTGTTATATTAACTCAAATTTGATATATAATCGCAGGAAAGATCTAGAGCAAGAAGATCTTGAGATATTATGGTTCGAAGTGAGATTAAAACACTCACAATTATATCTAATAGCTATAGTTTACAGGCCTCCAAATTCATCTACTGATTTCTTTTCTAAAGCAGAACTTCAGTTGGAGAAAGCTTTACATTTTAATTCGAATATTATTGTTCTTGGAGATTTCAATTGTAATATGCTTACTATTAACCCACTTTCATCCAAATTGAAAAATATGTGCACCTATCTGCAATTAAAGCAAATTATTAGCGAACCAACCAGAATTACAAATACGAGTAGAACATGTATTGATTTGATTTTACTGCCTTTGGAGAAAAACAATTTCAATCACGATGTTGTTTCAATGGGACTTAGTGACCATTCTCTGATCTTCGTTGATGTTAAAACTCAGAAAGTACATACTACCCCAACTATCAAACGGTTTCGTTCATTTCGTAACTTCGACCGGGAAAAGTTTTTGGATGAAGGTGGATTACTGAATTGGAATGATATTTATGATACTACTAATATTGATAGCAAATGGAGTATATTTGTAAATTTGTTTGTGAAACTTTGTGATAAGCATGCACCTATAGTTTCCGTTAGGCAACGACAGAACCCTTCCCCATGGATAACTGATGATTACATTTCTCTCTCAAAGAACGAGAGATTATCTTAAAGAGCGATTTGATGGTAAACATGGTAACAAAGATAAAAATGATATGTCCATCTGGAAACGTTTTCAAGTTGCTAGGAATAAATTAAATAATTGGAATAAAAAACTTAAGAAAGACTATTATCTACATCAATTCGATATCAATAAATCTAACTCTAAAAATACTTGGAAAACTTTGAGAGAATTTTCCCCCTCTGTTAATAACAATCGGTTAGCAATTCACGATACAGTCACTGATAAAATAGAAACTGAACCGTTTAAAGTTGCTAATTTGTTTAATGAACATTTTACACCTCAAAGTGATGATTCATCCAGTGATACGTCTGAAGAAAGTCACTGCACTTTTGAAACGTTCAAGTTTAAATATGTGACGGAAGATTACGTGTTTAAAGAACTGAATAGTCTAAGTACAAAGAAATCACCGGGCCTTGACTCCTTACACCCATTCCTCTTGAAAGAAGGGGGTGCTTTTATCTGTGAAGTAATCACTCATATCTTTAATACCTCCCTTCGTACAGGTTGTATTCCGAAAGAATGGAAAAAAGCAAGAGTTACCCCTTTATATAAAAACGGGAGTAAACAAGAGATTTTTAACTATAGACCTATATCGGTTCTTCCGCATATAATGAAATTCTAGAAAAGGCTGTACATTCTCAACTATACAAGTATTTTATTGACAATGAACTATTGAGTTCACTCCAATCTGGCTTTCGCCCACTGCACTCAACAAATAGCGTTTTAATTGATGTAAATGAATACTTGTTACGTAACATAGAAGAAGGCTTGGTGACCGGAGTTGTTTTCATTGATCTGAAAAGTGCATTCGATTCTGTTTCTCATGAACTACTTTTATCTAAATTATCAACGTATGGTGTAAAAGAAACAGAGGCTATTTGGTTTTCTAATTATTTACATGACCGTGAACAATGTGTTAAGGTGAACGATAGTCTTTCCAATTTTAGACCTATATCGAAAGGTGTCCCGCAAGGGAGTATGATATCGCCTCTATTGTTCTGTATATTCATTAATGATGCATGTAATATTAAATTTGGTAATTCTTTTAAACTATGTGTGTACGCTGACGATACCGCTATATTTTGTCGAGGGAAATCATGTTCTCTTGTCCAGAAAGAGTTACAGCTAGCACTGAATAAAATCCTTGCATGGATTGATGATAATCGGTTAACCCTTAATGTAAAGAAAACAAATGCATGTTAATTGGAACTCAATCTAAAGTGAAAAATAAGAAACTAGAAATGTATGTAAACACCAACAAACTCGAACAGGTTAATGAATTTAAATATCTTGGTTTGATAATTGACTCTTGCTTACGGTGGAACTGCCACATTAATACATTATGTAATAAGTTATCAAGAACTATTGGTTATATCAGACGTATTCAATATCTTTTACCGAAACGTATTTTGTTAATGATTTATAATAGTTTGTTTTTACCGCACATCGATTATTGCAATATTATCTGGGGACAAAGTGCAATGTGTCATATTTCAAGAATTCAAAAACTACAAAACCGTTTTGCAAGACTCATACTTAAAGCTGATTTTTTTTACCCCTCACATCACTATGTTGACTGAACTTTCCTGGCAATCAGTACGTCAAAGAATTAATTACCAAATTTGTTTAAAATGTACAAAATTCAAAATAATCTCACGCCTTTATATCTCAAGCCAATAGTTATCCCGAGAAAGATTTCTATTTATACCAGGCATTCTGCACAATCTCCACTCTTCATTAAAACTCCCCGAACAGATTATTTCAAAAGATCCCTTCACTACCAAGGGTCACTCATGTGGAATAACCTCTCTCCTAATGTACGTGTTAGTGTGTCCCTATTGTCCTTTAAGAGGCAATGCAAGCTTCTCAGTATCCAAAACGCCCTCTGACAAACACTTTTTTTTTTCCTTCTTCTTCTTCTTTCATTTGGAATATTTATTCTTAAACTTTTTTTTTTTTTTTTTTTTTTTTTTTTTTTTTTTTTTTTTTAATATTTCATATATTGTATTCGTATTTCTTGTTGTAATTTTAGTTACTTTGTATATCGGTTTTATTTGTATGTATACCATATTAATGTGCAATGTTTTACATGTTTTTAATTGTATAGACAGGCCCTTGGAAGAGCAATACTCGTTATTGAAAGGGCCACCCTGTATAAAGAAGACTTGAATGAATAAATAAGAATAAATAAATACGGGAAAAACCAGGCAAAATCCTCATTTAGGGAATATATTGGCTTTAGAAGATATCCTCGTTTAGGGGGTTTCTGGAAAACCTGTGGTCATGCATGCTTACAGTTTTTCTACGTGACTGAGACCCCCGGGGCTTGAACCTTGTCATCCAGAATCGCTGCAATACGTCAGTATAATGATCTTGAATAGCGGTGATCCGACACATTCTTCTGCGACTTTTGCTCCAGGTTTTATTTCGTAAAAGATACGGGTTAGGGTTACTTTTGAGTTGGGGGCTAGTTTAGGTTTAGGCCTGGGGTTAAAATTTGGTTTAGGTTTTATTTTTAGGGTTCGGGTCGGGTAAGTGTTGTGTTCAGTGCTTCAGTTAAGCAATGGATCAGTGTAGACAAATGACTGTGCGAGCATGTGTCTTACAACCAAGATTAGAAATGCATTTCCAAACACTACCTTGTTTCCTACAAAGTGTTTTCCCCCTGCCTCCTCGATGAGTTGTTCAAGATAAGTGAAGTAGGGCTTCGATGTGATCTCGACAAATGCCTTCAGCACCTCAGCCTGGAAAAGAGAAAGTAACAACAGATATTAGTCCATATTCTAATTAAAGTGAAAACTGGCACTGGGTTAAAGCTCTGTGTAAGGTCAATTTTCACAAAGAAAATTAGACCGAGGTCTAAGTTCTCCCTATGCTTTTGTTAAAAATGACAAAGTAGTCCTTGCGTTGGGTTTAACCACTTGTTATGTAAAGATTATGATGTAACAGAATGAGTAGAGTACGGAAATAGATTTGAAGAATGTAGAGGTTTTTGTATACCTAATCTATTATATTCACCATTATCCGTTCACATCTTGATTCCTGAAAATGTAACATATTTGTTTTGAAGTCGAAACATAGGCTTATGCCACAAATTAGTGGCGGAGTTAGAATAAGCGTAGATAGCGTACGTCCGCTATTTTCCCCAGCTTCTTCTTCCTCCTCCTCGTCGAAGTCTTCTTCTGCTTATTGTTCTTATTCTGTTTTTTACTTCTCCTTCGTCTTCTTAACCGGGCATGGTGGCTCATTGGTTAGAGCGCCCGCCTCATGAACGGGAGGTCGTGGGTTCGAACCCCGGCCGAGTCATACCAAAGACTTATAACAATGGGACCTTCTGCCTTCTAGCTAGGCGCTCAGCATAATAGATTGGAGAAGGGTATTAATAACATATTATGTTATGCAGGGCCCGCTGGAAGAGCAGTTTCATAACTGAAGTGGCTACCCTGGTAAATAAAACGTTATTATTATTATTATTATTATTATTCTTAGGAAGTTCGAACCTCACTGTCCGAATATGAGGTGAGAGTTACCCGAAATTACTAATTACAAAGTACTTATGGGTTCCCCCCCCCCCCCACCACCACCACCACCACCACCACCACCTCCCCACCACCACCATGTCCCACCTACGCCACATTACGAGAGTAAAATCCGGAGGTTCGGCATTTAAAAAGTAACAAAATACCAACAATGAAACCAACGGCTACTGTAGTTTAATCGGCCTGTTGAACGCGAATCGTTATTTATATATTAACACATTTTTAAAAATTTCTTGCTGTGTGGAGATGGGACAACTTTTCTCCTTCCCTTCAATTGTTAATCTGCACATGATAGTGCACACTCCAAGCTTCTTGGGGATTATTCCCGCTAGGTGTCATGCATTTTAGACATGCCAATCCACCACATTAACTCTCGCATCCTGCCTCACATCGATGGAGAGCAGTGGCGGATCCAGGGGGGGGGGGGGGGGTGCAAATAGAAAAAAAAAAAAAATGTGCTCACTACCCCCCCCCCCCCCCCCCCCCCCCCCCCCCCCACTGAGCGAATTTTTGGCCGGCGCGTTTTTCAAATTTTCGGGAGCAAAAAAAAAAAAAAAAATTGTGCTCTGTACCCCCCCCCCCCCCCCCCCCCCCCCCCCCCCCCCCCACTGAGCGACTTTTCTGCCGGCGCGATTTTCAAATTTTCGGGAGCAAAAAAAAAAAAAAGTTGGGCCCCCTCCCCTGATGGAGAGCGCCAAATGTTGATTAATGTATTGCCGAAGGACAATAGTGCTGTGGCTAGACCCGAACCGCGAACCATGAAGTCCACAGTCCGGTGACGTAATATATAATTTTACCTTCTTAGCTGCGTCTTGGTCGGCATATAGAGGCATCATCTTATCTTCAATGTCGGCCATAGTTTCGAGGACGACGTCAATTTGGGCAGCTTCTAAACTGTTTGCTCCGTAGAAATCTAACACCATATAAATATCGAAAATATGACATAAGTGACAAATATCGTTACGCAACCAGTTTGGATAGGAATATTTTAAAATAATGTCTGATAAAGGACTTATACATGCATATTACTGGTTTACTGGTTCGTATTCATAGGGGTGGAATTTCATAGATCTGGCCTAAATAACTGATTACTATGTAGCATCATCAAGCGCAGGGGCGGACTCGGACTGCAATTTGGTTAACGAATTTCGATGCGATCCACAAAATGGACCGGCCCTAAAGCCAAAATATGGAGCGGCTCGTGGGGAAAACTCCCTAGATTCCACATGGCCAGTCCTCCCCTGATGAAGTGTCAACATTCATATTGTTTTACCAATTGCGGTATTTAGCTGTAAGTGCTGTAAACCTGCAGCATGAATTAAAGTCATGAAATCAAAACAGGAAGCAATTTTATTACACAAAACTGTGCGTATGATCACTTTATATTACCTTTATAGTACCTTCAGTACTATTTTTATTTTTATTTTGTTCATTTATTTATTTATTTTTTTTTTTATTTTTTATTTTTATTTTTTTTTTATTTTTTTTAATTTTTTTTTTGGGGGGGGGGGGGGGTTGCCTCCGAAAATTTGAAAATCGCACCCCATCCCCCTTGAACACCAGGGGAGGGGGCCCGTTTCCTTAACTGTTTTTTCTTTTCTTTCTCGTGGGAGGGACCCGCCCCCCCCCCCCCCCCCCCGGCCCTGGATCAGCCACTGGGCAACGGGTTATTTAGGAGTCGCAATAGTAGTGTCCTCCAGAGTAGTGCTAACCACTCTTTAAAGCGATACTGAACCAACAGCGCAGCTAGGAAACAAGCGAGTTCGGGGACCAAACTGCTACAGCTGACCTGGGATGGCGCTACAGGGAATTTTGCGGCAGCACTTCTAGTACAGTATGGCAGTAAAGGGTCGAAACCTCACCCCAAAGGATAAATCCATGTATTATGAAAAATGAGATGTATAAGTAGTAGGAGACCAGCCTGTAGGTCCCGTGACCAATCTCGGGGAACAAAGGTTTGAAAGTGTTTTTGTGTTCCCTGATGAATACCGAACAATTTTAACTTGGGCTGCCCCCTTGAAAATCCCAGGCATTTTTGTGAGGGGTCAACAAAGGTCATACAGGGTAGAAATTCAAATATATTCCAATCATGTCGATATGCATATCATATTAACCGTCTGGTCATGATTCAAAAAATGTACAGTTTGCTATACCTCCGACCTTAAATGAGGGCGCTATGGTCAAAAACGTTGAAAGGTCAACACACTTTTGACTTGAGGTCAAATTTAACAACACTTTAAACTTAATCAAATTTCATATCAAATTACTCGGCTGGCCATAAGGATTCCAAAAATGTATAGTTTGTTATACCTTCGACCTTAAATGAGGGCGCTATGGTCAAAAAGGTCAATGCACTATAGACTGGTGGTCAAATTCACCAACACAGTTAACATTGTCCGATTCTAATGATTTTAGTGTCTAATAATATGTATTCTGACATGGCAAACTCAACTCAACAACTTTCAAAAGTAAAAGTGCTTACCTTGACCCTGTACATTCGAAATGGCTGCCGTTTTGGTGACAAATTTATTTAATAACTTCTTATCCATGGGTTTGAGGGAAATTTCAAGGTTAAGGCAACCACTTTTGATTTTAAAAGTTGCTTAGTTATGTCAGAAAACACATTATTAGACACTAAAATCATTAGAATCAGACGATGTAAACTGTGTGGATTAATGGGCAAGAATACTATAAATCTGTCAGAAAACGATGGTTATTTCTTGGGGTAAGGTTTCCTTTAAAGAACGGATCCCTCTATTTTGGAGTGGATCCCTATTATGCCTCCCCAAATTAGATTTTCACTTCTGTACATTCAGAGAGCGGGCATGGCATTTGAACGTCCTACCCATAGTTTATTGAGAGAGATAGTTGTAACACGCGTATGCACTCAAGGTTCAATTCATGGGTAGCTAAAATAGTTTCCTCTCACAGAACATTGTATGTGGGAGCCCCCCCCCCCCAACCCCTCCTCCTCCTCCAGAGTCGGAGGAAACGCATTCGTGTATCCAACATCTCCGGTAAAGGGGTACCTTTTCGCGCAACAAAGTCCGGCCCGCCATTGACTTTCAGACCGGAATAGGGGGTGTTTTCAAAAAGAGGGAACATGCAAACGAGTGCCCTAACGAGTTGGGGGCGGGGTGGGAGGGAGGGAGTTATTTTGTGCTCCACCTTGAGTGTGTACACGTGCGCATGTCGCAACAATCTCTCTCAATCACGATATATGTATACCTACTTAGTTCTCTGGCGAGGTATCTAGAAATCGCGGCACTCTGCGGTATCACCTTGTCATCGACTAACAGAACCGGAGCTTGCCCGATAGGAAACACTGGAAAGAGAGGGAACAAAATATAACAGAACAAGTGGAATACACAAATTAAAAAAAAGAATGGATCTTTTGTAGCATGTGGTAAATAACAATGTTAAGTAACCTACACAAAACACAAGATGAAACTACTTGTAATCTCATGATATTTAATTTTGGCACTTCTCCATTTGAAAGGCCAATTACAAAGCACACAAACAATTATTATAGATATTCACTAAAACGTCAATCTTTTATACAGTGCGTCTCAGAAAACTTAACATATCATAACTTAATCACAATGGTAATTAATAAATGACACATGTTTGTAAAGCTTAGATCCTCCTCTTTCATATTTCATGCATGAGTGATTAAAATCAATTTAAAGAGAGGAAACCAAAAGTCATTTGGCGGACGGTATCTGAATTTCAAAGGGAAAATCACATTTCTAGAAGGTTCAGTTTCTGCCCTTTCATATGACACCTTAACCAGGAAAAATGAGCTAGGAATAAAAAACTTCTGTTTATTTAAAGTAGTGCTTGCATTTCCATAATTTGATTAAACGAATTCGTTTTCGCTGGCTGCCTGCCGTAGCAATAAACGGAGTTGACAAATGACTTAAAGGGGCCATGACATCGAAATTATGCAAGTGTGGAAGAAAAATCAGATAATAAATGTTCTCTAAAAAAGTATGGCTCTTCAAATGCCTTAATATTCTAAATGTGGCATGTAACAGCATAAAAATCGGGACGGATTTTTATGCCACATGTTCGTGTAATCCCATATACATCTTTCTGTATACAGTGTTGTAACTTGACCAAGACTGGCCCAAATTTCTTATCAATTTGATGAATCCTGAACCTTGCAGTACACACCAATTCTTATATGCTAGATGATCAACCTTTTATGTTCGATTCTATACCGTTTCTTTCACAATGCAATCGCATGACCAGAACTCAACTTTATCTTTAACTCCGTTTTGTTGAAGATCAACCATAGTCGAAAGAATTCATGCACGGAACGGAGTTAAGTCTTTTGTCAATTCTGCTTGTTGCTACGGCAGGCAGCCGGTGTTATTGTGAGCGTTATCAGGGACTTTTCGATTTGCACGACGAGAACATGGACTGCAACGTGTGACATCCTTTTAAGGCACTGCCAGTGCCTTAAAAGGAAGTCACACGTCCACGTCAACGCAAATCGAAAAGTCCCTATTATGCAAGTGTGTAAAAACATCAGAGAAAACAAGAACTCAACTTTATATTTAGATGCGCAGTACGGCAATTGCGCATTGTGTGTTTACTATCAGCCAGATTGAGGCGCGATATCAAAGGGCCACTCTGACCAAAACAGGCTAAAAATGAAGAAAAAAAAAAGACATGTAGAAAAATTTCTGACGGAGATTCCGAACATGACAATGATTCTTCTTATAAATCATCAATAATATGTTTTTAAAAGGCAAACTATGATATTAATTGAAGAAAAAAATATGCACTTGATAATCCCAGTACGTTTCTGGCAATTTTGTCATTCCTGATTATCAAATTATCTAATTATCAAATCAGACATGCCCGCAATGACGTCAAATGCGTCATCAAGCAACGTGACCGTATTATTCTTTTTTCGAGCCTAGAAAGCGTCAGAACTGTGAAAAATGGATGGCTATTATCATTTTGGGGTCAATTTTGAGATTTTCTGAAAAATCAGAGGCTGGAGTATTAATAGGTAGAGGTGTATTCATGTTTTGAAAGGCTATGTTAGTTGGGTTATAGTGGCCCTTTAAATCGGCGCCCAGCACCGCCCAGACCGGACGGATATCCGTTCCTCATACGATATGTGTATCTGCAGCCAGCTTTGACCGATGTATAGATTAATAATAATATAACAATATCGAGTTCGTATCTGTCCGAACATTGTATAAACGACGTTCACACAGGGAAAATGTATTTTAAAGCTCTTTAGTTAAAGAGCTTTAAATTAAGATGTATATCTCATACAAAAGCATGCACGTACCTTAAACAGGTTTCTCCCTTTGTAAATTTCAAGAAGCTTCTCGTGATAAGCCAGACAGTTCTCTTTGCTAGATACGTGTGAATGCCTCTATTGTTATTACAGCTTACTATATTTTGAATAATCACAATGGAATGCCTGATTTGTAAGGTCAGCCTAACCTTTCTATTGAATAGGATTGCCAATGGTTCACTGGTTTACGTGTTTAATACAACCTTTTCACACAGGGGTAAAATTCATCGTATCTAAAGCTGTTTAATACATTGGTTGCCAAGTCCTGTACCCACAAATAAACTATGAGTACTCTGCTTTACTGTACAAGACAATCTCTACGTACATGTCATTGAAATGACACCTTTAAGTAAGTTAACACGTTCATCGACAGGGGCGGATCTAGCTTTTTGCCAAAAGGCCGGATCCAGGATTTTCCAAAAATCGCGCCGTTTTCCTTTTTTTCTACTTTTTTTTTCTAACTTTACCGCCAAAAAGGGGGGGGGGTTAAACCGCCGAGCCCCCCCCCCCCTAGATCCGCCCCTGATCAACCAGCTATTTTGCACCAAGATAAGTTTGCAAAAAACATCTTTTCAGGTACCGTTGAAATGAGCACAAATTTGGAGCATTTGCCAAGGTTTGCTCTAGGGAATTACAAAACTTGGGTCAAGTATAGAGAAAAGAATTTAATGTTTACACTCTTCTCATTCTCGGTAAATGATAAGAATGAGACTGCCGCGTGGGATAATTTAATATGATGTTGTAAGCATTTTGAAAACATAATATTGAATATTTTAGGTATTTTGTTTAAATTTAGCTGATACATAAATCGACTTCGGTGAAAGAGATACAAGTCAGAATTTTTCAGAAATTAGCTTCATAAAAAGTTTATCAGTAGGAGCAAAGTATCCAGTGCTGATGAAAATACCCTTTCCCAAATTTTTTGAGAAAGAAGTTAGCAAAGAGATAGGTCTGTAACTATTAACTTTTTGTGCATCACCTTTCTTAAAATTGGTTAACTATGGCCATCTTTATAGAGTTTGGTATTTTCCAGTACACAATAATGATCAGCAAAACATATAATTATATGCGTAATCGATACATTATCTATACCATCATGACCACTGCTTCTTTTCATTGGCAAGTTATTTACAATGATTTAGTTAACTCGGTTTTACAGAAAGGCGTATAAGGAATAATGAGTATGGATTCGGATCACTTAAACAAATTGAGAAATGTTATGATGAAGGGCCAATAGCAGTTGCCCAATTTTGGCCCTAACATACAACTTATAAATTAAAACATTGAGAAATTGTTTCAAGATCTTCAATGGTTATACCATCATTTTTTCATTTTTTTTAAAATAATAAATAGTATAGGATATTTTTCTCTTTTTTATTTAAAAAAAAAAATCATTAATAATTCTCCACGTCTTTTTCAGATCTGTTTTGTAGACCAAAAAATGCTCAAAATAGTATTTTTTTTTCTTTGGTTCCTTATTACAGAGGAAAGAATAATTTGATTGGTAATATACTTATTCCGATTACGTTGTGTTGGTTTAATTTTCTGTTTAGGATAAAGAGTTTGTTTTCCTTCTATTTATTGATCTCAGCAGAGATTTGGTAACCCACGGGGAAATGGGAATGTTCTTTCGATTTCGGGCTCTTTCCTTTTATTGGGACGCAATCATCACAATGATATAACAATATTTTCATGAGTGAATTGAAGGCATCATCCACGTCTTGGGCGGCAAACACGTCTGACCAGTCTGCAATGCCGAGACCATCTCTAACATTATTTAACTTGTCATTATTCAGACTACAATTTTTAACTTTAGGACGTGGGTCGGAATTGTTAAAATATAATCATAATTGCAATGCGACCACGCTACAATCGGAAAGTGATCTGTTAAATCAGAAAGTAGGATGGCAGATTCTGGTAAGAGTAGGGTGTTTGTGAAAATGTTGTCGATACGTGTTGCAGACCTGTCAGTTATTCGTGTTGTTAATGAGCAGGATAAATTAACCTAACAAAAAGACTTCTAAGAAATCTTGCGGGAATTTATTTAGGTAACAATCAAGGAGATATATGTTAAAGCCTCTTATAATAAAGCATTGTTTATTGCCCAAAACTGGGCATTCGATAATACATTTTGGAGGGCTGTTAATAATTCTTTCTGATGGGATTTGATGGGGGCTGTATATAACGCCTATATATTCCTACTTCACTGCATGTTTATTTCAATGAGCGAGGAGCGAGGTGCAATGAGTTGAGGTGTATACTGGTAGTGCATGACAAAGCACTAAAATTAAATGCTGATGTTGGGTACGGTTACCCTTTTTTAACATGTAGAAGTGTCGTAGTCGAGTGGTTTAAGCACTTTATTCGAAATTCGAAGGTCATTGCTCAATCCCCGACATGCGGCAGACACGGCACTAATGTCCTTTGGCAAGACTTTAAAGCACATTTGCCACTCTCCACCCAGGTGTTAAATGGGTACCCGGGAGGATGCGAATGTTATTGAGGTCGGATGAAAAAATGGCGCTTGTAACATGGCGACTGGCCGGAATGCTCCCTAGGGAGTGGAGAATGTGCAAACATTGTGTGTGGATAAGCCTGAATCCCGATGACCGGGGTAACAATTTGTTAGCGCCTATAGAAACAAAGTATTAGGCGCATTACAAATGTGAGCTATCATTATTATTATATAATGTCTATAGGATGCTGACGATATTTCGGGCATGAATCTCGGGCGTGATTGAAATACATGTAATTTGAAACATAGCACTTAATAAAGATTTATGCATTAGATTTAATTACAATACGAAAATGGTACATTGGAATTTACACAAGTATAATGATACTATATACGCTCTATTATTATTATTATTATTATTATCACCATCATCTTATAAATATCATTTATTAACTGTAACCATTAATACATCCATATTATCATTACATATCATTATTATTGATATTGTTATTATTATTATCATCATCATCATCATCATCATCATCCATTATTGTGACAACTAATATGATCATAATATTAAAAAAAAAAAAAAATGCCCATTTACTTTTGTTTTTGTTCAAAATAGTCCGCCCCCCCCCCACGCACACACAACACACACACACACTTTTTTCTTTTAATCCTGGATCCGCTCTAACTTCGACTTATGTTACTTGGGTCAAGTCACTAAATCCAATCTCGTGACGATTCCAGGCAAAAGAATTTAGAGGTGGTGTAATCTCACATTCTTTGTCGCTCTTCCGCTGCGGCCATTCCTCGTGTGTAAAGCGTTCGTCCACGTATTCGCAACCCGCGAGAGCGAATATCATACGTGCCGGCTCGGCGCGACCACGGCCGTTGAAGTAGAACAACTTGTAGTTTGGCATGTTGATTTAAGAAGCAGCTGGCCCGAGGAAATAAAATTCGAGAATAGGATTCGCTAAGTAATGGAAGGAGCTCGTGGATGAAGGCGAGATTTTCTTCTGGCACTTGGCTTGCTTGGTGGTGTTGTGTTTGATCAGTTGGATAGAACTCAAATGAACAAAATACCAGACAGTACCATGTGTATTGTTCCTTTATTACAGGTGTATGAGTGACGATGTTGTACAAACTTTGAATCATGATAATGCCCTCAACGATGAAATACCATATAGTTGAACATACAACAGACGGTGAGCTGATTGAAAGCACCAACAATAAGTTTGTCTCACAATATTCGCACTTATTGTTTTTTTCTCTTTCACCAAAAGATCTTTGCCCCCCGAAATATGCAAATTAAATTGCACTTGTATTGCACTGTTTGGTTTCAGTGCCGTACTATTGCGGCCTACTCGACTATGAACTTAACCTTTTTTACCCATCGTGGAAACCGAGGTGCCTCGTCACAAATTATTTCATTCACCTGTAACGAATAATTGTATTTCAATAGCATACGTCACGTGTTGTTAGGTAGGACAAACCATAATATTTGTCTTACCTAACAAAACTCAATGTTGCGATTCGCAATCTGACTATTGGAGTACAATTATTTATTACAAGTGAATGAAATAAATATAATTTAAAACATCGAACTTAAATATACATTAGATTTAATTACATACGAAAATGGTACATTGGCATTTACACAAAATATAATGATACTTTATACGCTCTTTGGTCGGTTAGAGCTTGATATGAAGAAACAATCATGATTATCATTATAGCTGTTGTTATGGATGCTGTTATTCATATTATTATTATCATCATTAATGATTTAATGTGACCATTATTATTAACATTACATAACACAAATATTTTCCCATATTTTAGTGTGTGCTTGTTCTTATTATTATCATTATTATTATTAAAATTATCATCATAATCATCATCATCATCATCATCATCATCATCATCAATTATTGTGACTATTATTATGATCATAATTACCCAACACAGTACAGCCCCCCCCCCCCCCCCAGGCCTCCCCCCCCCCCCCCCCCAATCCTCCCACACTCACACTTTTTTTCTCCCCTGGATCCTCTACTTTTCGACTTATGTTGGGTCATGTCACTAAATCAAATCTCGTGACGATTTCAGACAAACAAATTTAGAGGAGGTGTAATCTCACATTCTTTATCGGTCTTTCGCTGCGGCCATTCCTCGTGTGTAAAGCGGTCGTCCACGTATTCGCAACCCGCGAGAGCGAACATCATACGCGCCGGTTCGGCGCGAGCACGGAGGTTGAAGTAGAACAACTTATAGTTTGGCATGATGATTTAAGGAGCGGTGCCGCTGGCCCGAGGAAATAAAATCCGAGAAATAGATTTGCTAAGTGATGGAAGGAGCTCGTGGATGAAGGCGAGATTTTCTTCTGGCACTTGGCTTGCTTGGTGGTGTTGTGTTTGATCAGTTGGATAGAACTCAAATAACCGAAATAACACCAGGCAGTTAGGCAGTACCGTGTGTATTGTTCCTTTATTACAGGTGTATGAGTGACGATGGTGTACAAACGTTGAATCATGATAATGCCCTCAACGATGAAATACCCTATAGTTGAATATACAACAGACGGTGAGCTGATTGAAAGCACCAACAATAAGTTCGCCTTGCAATATTCGCACTTATTGTTTTTTTCTCTTTCACCAAAAGATCTTTGCCCCAAAGAATATGCAAATCAAATTGCACTTGTATTGCACTGTTTGGTTTCAGTGCCGTACTATTGCCTACTCAACTATGAACTTAACCTTTGTACCCATCGTGGATTTCATTCACCTGTATTAAACGAATAATTGTATTTCAATAGTCAGAAAGCGAATAGCATACGTTACGTGTTGTTAGGTAGGACGAGCCATAATGTTTTTCCTACCTAGCAAAAATTAATGTTGCGATTCGCAATCTGACTATTGGAGTACAATTATTTGTTACAAGTGAATGAAATAAATGTAATTTGAAACATGGAACTTAACAAAGATCTATGCATTAGATTTAATTACAATACGAAAATGATACATTGGCATTTACACAAATATAATGATACTGTATACGCTCTTTGGTCGGTAAGAGCTTGATATGAAGAAACAATCATGATTATCATTATAGCTGTTGTTATGGATGCTGTTATTAATATTATTATTATCATCATTGATCATTTAATGTGACCATTATAATTAACATTACATAACACAAATATTTCCCCATTTTTTAGTGTATTCTTGTTCTTATTATCATTATTATTGTTATAATTATCTTCATAATCATCATCATCATTTATTGTGACTACTATTATGATCATAATTACCCAACACAGTACAGCCCCCCCCCCCCCCCCCACGCCCCCTCCCACACTCATTTTTTTTTCTCCCCTGGATCCTCTACTTTTCGACTTATGTTGGGTCATGTCACTAAATCAAATCTCGTGATGATATCAACAAAATAATTTAGAGAAGAAGTAATCTCACTTTCTTTATCGGTCTTTCGCTCCGGCCATTCCTTGTGTGTAAAGCGGTCGTCCACGTATTCGCAACCCGCGAGAGCGAACATCATACGCGCCGGCTCGGCCCAACCACGGGCATTGAAGTAGATCAACTTATAGTTTGGCATGATGATTCAAGAAGCGGTGCAGCTGGTCCGAGGATATACAATTCTTTTCTGGAACTCAGCTTGCTTGGTGATGTGCTAATAGAAAGCACCAACAATAAGTTCGCCTTGCAATATTCGCACGAATGGTCTGTTTCCCTTCCCAACCAAAGGTCCTTGCCCAAAAATATGCATATAAACTTGAACGTGTATTGCACTGTTTGGTTTATCAGTGCCGTATTTCCCGACGGTACTTGACCTTTGAATCAAGATGCGTACTTAGGGGCGTGGTTTTGGAGGTCGAACCCCCCTCAATTGTTTGTTGTTGTGTGTGTTTTGGAGGACCCCCCCCCCCCCCCCTCCCCCAACTGAACGAAATATCGATCAGCCAAATTTTCAAATTTCGGGAAAAAAACAAGAGCTTGATATGAAGAAACAAACATGATTATCATTATAGCTGGTGTTATGGATGCTGTTATTAATATAAATATTACTATCATTAATCATTTAATGTGACCATTATTATGATCATAATTACCCAACACAGGAGGCCTACAGCCCCCTCTCCTCCCCCCCCCCCCCCCCACGCCCCCTCCCACACTCACACTTTTTATTCTCCCTGGATCCTCTACTTTCCGAGTTATCTTTGGTCAAGTCACTAAATCAAATCTCGTGATGATTTCAACAAAAGATTTAGAGATGAAGTAATCTCACTTTCTTTATTGGTCTTTCGCTCCGGCCATTCCTCGTGTGTAAAGCGGTCGTCCACGTACTCGCCACCCCTGAGAGCGAACATCATACGGGCCGGCTCGGCGCGACCACGGGCGTTGAAGTAGATCAACTTGTAGTTTGGCATGATGATTCAAGAAGCGGTGCAGCTGGTCCGACGATATACAATTCTTTTTTCTGGATCTCAGCTTGCTTGGTGATGTGCTAGTAGAAAGCACCAACAATAACTTCGCCTTGCAATATTCGGACTATTTTGGTCTGTTTTCCCTTTCCAACCAAAGGTCCTTACCAAAGATATGCATATCAATTTGCACGTGCATTAAACTGTTTGGTTTATTTATCAGTTCCGTACTACGCCTTCCGTCTGTACTTGACCTTTGAATCCATAGTGGAAACTGTGGTATGTCAAAGAACTGTTGCTCATGCAGGGCCTTTAATGCTGTGGAAAATTCTCCCTCGAGAGATCCGTAGTAGCAGATCAGTTGAAGTGTTAAAGAATATTCCTAAAACGTATCTGTTCGATTAGGTAAATAATTGATTGTGTTTATATTTTCGTATGTTCTATCTTGTTCCTGTTCCCTTGTTTTTGATGCCTTTGTTCATGTATTGTAATTTTTTTTCTCACAATTGCGCTTTGTGCATTTTAAATGGATTCATGGCCTTACAAATCTCATGAAGCTCTTCTGGTGTGGGGAGCCCAAACAAATTGATGGCAAAATCTCACTTAAACGGTATCATGAGAAAGAAGATGTCATTTAGAACAAATTTCTGCAAAGACAAATATTGATTACAAATACATGATTTGAGTTTTCTGTTGTGTGCAAGAAAACCAAATTTTGTATTCTTTATATACAATTTAAAGGTAATACAAAGTTTTTGTATGGGGTCATGAATTTGGTTCAAATGAACATAGTGAAGTATATGCGATCCTGCAATATTCAGTGATCGTTGTCACGGTTGAAATCGAGTCTAAAGTTATGAAATTGTAAATAATAAACTATGTTTGTTGTAATAATAATAACAATTATCCTTTCTCATATAGCGCTAACACTTACTTTATCAGAAGTCTCTAAGCGCTCTGCAAGGTATTAATTAAGCTATAAAAACAATGTTTCTTGACTAAAATCGACTGATTAGCTACTCCGATTTGGAAATTATATATCACAAATACATATTCTGAGATTTTCATGATTGCAGCTACCATTGTACGGCCGTAGGCGCTAATCGAAATTTATCAAAATTTACCGGGAGCACCGGTAAATTTTTATATTCAATTTTTCTCGAAAGCAGGAATATTTTAAGGGCTAAATTTTCTAGTGCTTATAATACATCCACAGGGGCATCCGAAAATATAACAATTGTAAAGAATCACTATCCACCCAATTTTAAAAATTTCCCAAAACTTTGTATTACCTTTAAGTGAAATTTTGCCTTTAAATTTGTGGCGAATTTCGGGCTCCCATCACTTTAGAGGGGTTTAATAATATTATCATAATAATTATTGTTATTACTATATTATCATCATCATCATTGTCATTATTATTATTATTATCATTTTCATTACCATAATTATTATTGTCATCATAGTAGGTGAGGGTCCAAAGGAGGGACTATCAAAATCTTTTATTTTTCATAAATAAGTCATCTTTAGCACAATTTAAGTTAGATTAAGTTGATTTATTCATTTATCTGTAACAAACTATACTTTTGTAACGTAACATAGCGTAACATACTGTAATTTTGAACTGAATAATATTGTGTACTTGCGGTGCTGTCGTCCCGGCTTTATTTCGTGTAAGGACATTGCTTCACTTAATGGCTGCTGGGTCAACAGCACCACAGCGCCTGGAAACAATGTATTAGGAGCGTTATAAATGTAGTTATTATTATTATTATTATTTGGAAAACTACAGTGTGCAGGGACCACTAAATGACTCCCTCCCACAAATTTATATACGCACGCTCACGCACACCCATGTACGCTCGCCCACACTCTCCTGTGCACACACATATTTGAAATTGTTTCTTCTACTTTCTTAATAGAGATGGGAATAAGCTTTAAATTAACATATATGAGATTACTAATTCATTCAACATTTATTCCATTCAATGGTTGTAAACATGCAAAAAGATCATCCTTACTGTTCTGTTGTCGTCATAACTGCTATATTGTACATGTATAATTAATTATATAAAAGCTTTTCTGCTTAACCCTTAAAAGACTAGGTTATTTTGAACCTTTAAAACAACTGGGGGGCTAAAAGGGCCCTATAAGATCTCGGCAACCGAAACTCCGATTGACTCTACATTTGGCATAGGTAGATGCCCATGGGATTTACAATATTCATATTGTTTTATTTCATCTTCTGAAAATAGTATGTATTCAAGCGTCTGGAACTTATTATGTACATGATGCAAATTGGTGCAAAAATAACTGTGTGAAACGCCTTGCCGAAAACTCGAATACTCTTTTATTGTTATTTATTCTTTTATACAGTAAAACAGATATGTGCGAGCCAACCAATTTTGTTATTAATAATGTCAACCACAACCTTTCTAAACCTGATCAAATATAGGACACGCACGGTCAGGCACTATACAGGTAGAAGTAAGAAATCTTCAACTGTTAATCAGTTATATGACAAAATAACTTGTCTGTTGCCTTAATAAAAAGTATATATTTAGTTAGGCCTGACTCGAGTGACAAAACAATTATCGTGTTAAAAGGAAAAACATGTTTGATGACATTCCAAAATTTCCCCAATAACTAAAATAACTAAAAATAACTTTACTCCAAAAAAACTCAATACGGATTCTTCAGCCTCTGACAAAACGCAAGTAGGTGTCTCAGGCCCAGGTCCAGGCCTGGGGTGTCTTTCCATTTTCATGTTGTTGCTCTTTGCACGCCTGTTTGTATGAGAGGGTGGAGTATCCGCCTTTACAACTTTACAAAAACGACAAGTTGTCTTTCTTGGCATGTTTGTTTCAAAGAACCTGCTACGTATGAATTATAATTTTGTAAAAGTGATATAGTAAACAACCAGACTTTTTACTCTGCTTCTGACAGGTATAAAACACAACATGTAATCATATTAAAGTTATCATATTAAAGGTCAATAAAGTCTACTTCTTGAAACTTGATACCGAGCCCGACATCTTTATTATATCGCGTACGACAATGACTTGTTTTCACACATAACATATTTAAGCTGATCCTATTGAAAATTGTTATTGATTGATAATCTGGATAATCTGGCCATCTCAGAGATATAACTATTTGATATGATCGCCAAGGAACAATGAACTCTTACGGCTCCTGCAAGAGCCGACGTATGCTGAAAAGCATTTGACTATTTTACTTCATAGCAATCTTAATTGTATGACTGAAATTGCCGACCCCCTAATTCAAAAATTCCTGACTTCTTAGAATATTTGCAAGATTTATTACAAAATCCAGTCTTCACCAACAAAGACTACTATATCGTATAGTAGATTTTAACATAGATATAATGCTAAATCTTCCGCTCAAACTACTTCAAAAGACTTTATGGATGTCATGTCTTCATCCTCGTTACATTTAATTACTAAACCGATCCGAGTTACCAACCAAGCAGCGACCCTCATTGATAATATATTTTGCAATGTTGTTCCCTTACCTGAATCTGGAATCATTTTATCTGACGTATCTGATCATTTTTTTCAAAAAGTCATTGTATTTTAAATAAAAAAGACACCCCTTGCAAAGATTCAGTACAGTAACACCTAATAAAGTAGCGCGATTGAAAGAAAGTCTCGAAGATGCTGATTAGACTTAAATTTATAGTTCGCATGATACAAATACTGCGTATAATAATTTTATGACGATTTTCATTTCTCATTTAGAAAGACACATTCTATTAGTGAACAAATTATCTAATAATAACCAGAGTACCAGACTTTCATGGATAACCAAATCAATTTAAAGATCAATCAATCGAAAACACAACTTATATTACGCAAGCAAAATACAGAGTTCCAAACGTCTCACCGTAGATATAGCACTTACAAAAATGTTCTCACTAAAATATTACGTATTAAAAACGAAAATATTTTACAAATCAGTTAACTCTATTCAAACATGATATTAGTAAAACACGGTCAATCATAAATAGTGTCATTAATAAGCATAACAATAAGTCACGTATAACAAAAATAAAATTTAGCAACGTAGAAATTCTCGATTCAGTACAGATAGCCGATACGTTCAATCAATATTTCTCTTAGATAGGACATAGCCTTGCAAAGGATATTCCTCCAACGCAAAATACATTTTTTGACTTTAAAGACCAGCCAAATCCCAATTCACTATTTGTTTGTCCCTGTACATAGAAACGAATTAATAGATATGGTTCATAACTTGAAAATTAAAAGAGTGCTGGACACGATGGCATTAATAACATTTTATGAAAAACGTCATAAACTACATTGTTTAAACTAACCTATTAAAAACCTATTGATGTCGTAACGCAGCGCAAATGCATACCGTAAAGACTATATTTTTGCTGTAATTAGTTTTTTTTTAATATATTCAATTGTACATGTTCATCTATATACCTTGTTTTAACTGCAAACTCAGTTCTTTTTAGTTCCAAGCTCTTGCTTCAGCCACAAAATCACCTTGAAGATTCACACACAAGTGACTATAAGCCACTCCATATAAAATGATGCACTGAATTCACAATATGGCTCTTGTCAAAATCTGCAATAATGTAGTATTAGGGGTTTAACCAAATTAGGCTCGCCAAAAACCAAAACAAAACCGAGAGGTCCGGTTTTTGAGAGAAAATTTCGCAACGACTCAGTCGGCCGCTGAATAAGCGGGGGGGGGGGGGTGGGGGGGGGGGGGGGGGGGGGGGAGTGAGCATTATTTTTTTTCTTCATTTTTGCTCCGGGAATTCGAAAATTGCGCGCAGACCGTTTTTCGCTCAGTGGGGGGGGGGGGGGGGGGGGGGGGGGGGGGAACGTGGTGTGAGCACTTACAACACATTTTTTTTTTTTTTTTTTTTTTTTTACAATTAAATTTTTTTAAAAGCCCGGGCCCGTAGCCCCCCCCCCCGTGGATCCGCGCCTGATACACGACCACCACCATCATCATCATCACATCACTAGCATAAATATCATCATGAACCGTTACTTGTATATTCTACCCTCGAGACATATAGGCTTTGATGAATAATATGTTTGGGAACTCAGAAAAATAATAATAATAATAATAATAATAGTAACGATAGTGATATCAATGATAAAAATAAACCGTTCTTGAATAGGGCATATTGCATTACTATATAACGTCCCTATATATACGCTTTTATCGGATATAATTAACACGGATTTAGCTCTAAATGAAATGTTTACAAAAATGTTGGCACCCCAATAATTACTTTTTTATTTTATTGAATGGTTTATTAAAAATACGGAAAATAACTCTCCGAAAGCTGTTTTATTTCAGTTTACAATACAAGCACATGAAATACATAGCAATGTCGAAACAATAATTGAATAAAGCTTAAGAGAGTACATACAAAGATAAAATTACTAAGATATAATATCTTTCAAAAACTAAGTATAATCAACACCGTGATCAACTCTATGACAATATAGACTGGATTTTTGTTTGCATCATTAGTAGTAAGTAGGGTTTATATTACAATCATCTGCATACTAACAAAAAGGAAATCTGTATTTCATTTAGATATGCTTGCAATTAGCATTAATACTGTAATTATTCTACCTTCAAAAAATAGGCGCGGATTAATAACTAATCCCACCCTTATTTATCACAATTGTAATCCCTATTCTTTCAGAATCTTGATATTTTACATGCCTAGCGCACCCTATACCCTATTCATTATAAAAAGAATGAAAAACATAACAACATCAACAAAAATTATCAAGACAAGGACCTATAATGTTTTGCCAAACTCGCTACATGTATAACTTGATATACCGTGTGAGTCAAAAAAAAAGTTTACACCTAGCAAATTGCTAATTATTTTTGGAATCATCTATGAACAGTAAATTATTATACATCTTATGAAAGAGTGTTTTATCCCAAGTCATTTGGTACCATTTTTGTGTGGTATGTGTTCACGCTTGGATGAACAGGTGGTATTGTTTGCGAGAGTGCAAAAATCGTCTTGCGCCAAAGTGATGACTTAAGTATGTATTATGTTGGGATTAGCGGAGTGAGAGAATGGATTGAATGGATTGCAAAGGGCAAAGTCACACACACCCACACACACGCGCTCAAATGTCCGTTGATATTTGATATTCGATATTTGATATGTGTGGCATAATCGATTTTGTTAGGGGTGTTATTTGGATCTGCAAAGACCGAATTAATACCCAAATCCCAATTGTTTTATTCAAACATCACATAGGCAACTTTGGCGCAATTCGAGTTTTGCACTCTCGGAAACAATGTCTCCTGCTCATCCAAGCGTGAACACATACCACACAAAAATGGTACCAAATGATTTGGGATAAAATACTCTTTCATAAGACATATAACAGTTTAATGTTCATCGATTATCTTTTAAATAATCAGCAATTTTCAAGGGTGTAAACTTTTTTTTGACTCACACTGTAGAGCTTATGCTATACAGTCAAACTTGTCTTCTTGGCCACCTCTCCAAGAAGGCCCCCTGTTTGTAATGGCTTTGGATTCTGTCTCCCTTGAGAAAGCTAAGTGTATTGTAGAAGCTGTCTATAGAAAGGCAACCATTTTTGTTTTCCGTTGAGTGACCTTAATAGACAGGTTTGACTGTATTTAAAGCTCGTTCTGGGTCTCACTTCATGGAATCACTTTTCAATCGGCAACTCGTACTCCGGCTCAGTGTTCTCATCGGCTATTCCCAAGTTTGATTCCTGGACTCGAGCTGTTTTCTTCACTATTGTTTGATTTTCATATTCTACCCCCTCGATTTCATTCGTGTAGCCTCTATCTCCGTTTCTAGTTGCTATGGTGTCATCGTAATCTGGTTGATTGATAGTTGTTGCATGGTCTCTATCTCCGTGTGTAGTTGCTATGGTGTCATCGTAATCTGGTTGCTTCATAGTTGTTTCCTGGCCTCTATCTCCGTGTCTAGTTGCTTTGATGTCATCGTAATCTGGTTGATTCATAGTTGTTGCCTGGCCTCTATCTCCGTGTCTCGTTCCTTTGATATCCTCGTAGGTTGGTTGATTCATAATTGTTGCATCTAAGGAGGTGTAGGGATCGAGTTTCTGGCCCTCCCTTTCACTGACTGACTGCTTTAGAGCGATGTAAGAGCGTCTGAAGTAAAGGAAAGAAATAGCATTGGTGAGGTATAGCGTTTCATCCTCTTGAGATTAGAAGTGCTATAAACATCCAATTATCATTATTATCAGCATTATTATTATTATCATCACCATTACTTGAAGTGGTAGTACTAGTAGTAATATAATACTATTTATCATTATTATTATTAAGTTTATTATTTTTCTTGCAATTCACATTTTCATTTTTGTTCTGATGATGATGGTAATTATTATCATTAAAATAATCATGACTATTGTCATTATCATTATTTCTAATATTATTATTATTATTGTTTTTGTTGTTGATATTGTTATCACCATCATCACCATCATCATTGACCATAGTCAAATAGATGGGGATGGTCTAGTAGGCTGCAGCCCCCCCCCCCCCCTCTTCTGCTACTATACCAGTGCCTCCTTCGTACAGACTGATCTCAGTATGCGTGTATAATAATGCGTGCCTGTATTAAGTGTACGTGAATGTGTGTGGAGGGTGGTGGTTTTCGGATGTCTATAGTGGCGGAGGCGATCGGGCGGGGGTAGGTCAAATGACAACCCTATCTCACCTGAGATTCAGGTACATCAATGCTATGATAATACCAAACAAGGCAACACAAGCAAGCAGTACACCTACAGTGATAGTGCTGGTCACCTCTGGAGAAGAAAAGAATCAAATAAAGACATTGTACAAGGCTAGAAAAATTCACAATGAACAAATATCATCAGTTTACCTATACCATAAAGTCAGTCACCTATAACGGAAACCTAGAACCATATGGCAATATTTTTTCGTAATTCTTATGATATGAATGTTCATCTTTAAATATTTGTCTTTAGACTCGTTGCATGGGCAAAGGTCCCATTCCAACCAGTTTTATTACTTACATCTTTAATATTTATTCACACCAAATGAAAAGCATAGTCATCAACGCTACGAATAATAACATTTGAAAACAAGCAATTACGATGATATCTTAGTTCTACTTCATTACTATTGCTTCGATATTGTTTTAATTGTTTAGTTTTAGTTTGTTTAGTGTACAATGTGGCTTTCCCATTTTGCATACTGGAAGGGAGGGAATGAATCAACAATTATTAAAATCATAATCGAATATGGCGTAGAATTTTTAAATAAGTAAACAAGTGAAACAGGATCAAGGGAAATAGTTTTTATATCAGGGCTAACAAAAAAATAGAATACAAGGAGATGGCCAGACAAGAACAATGGCCACACAAGTTTGTTTCATTACTGCTCTTATTATAGTGAGGTTCCACCTTCATAGGCTTGAGATATAATAATTATTAGATTTGTTACTTGATATCCGTAAATTCCCATGACACAACATATTTTATTTCAAAGAAGTATTAAACAAAGAAATCTTGGGAGTATTTACCACTACTCACTAGCCCTCTGTGAGAGAAACCAGATAAATAATTTATTTACTGATTAAAAGATAACACGAAAGACGTTTGGAGAGACTTTGGGAAAGACCACCAGTAAATGAATTCATTAAAATAAAATTTCTTTATCCTATTTTATTGCCTCGTGAATTGTTTGGATTATGTAACATGTCATATTATTTTCCACTCATTAACAAAAAGGTGATGGACACTTAAGACATTTGAAATTGCCTTATATATATATATATATATATATATATATATATATATATATATATATATATATATTTCATAGACAACATTATTTCTCGAAAGACTCTGCAGTTGTGTTTAATGTAGCCTACCTTTAGAACAATCAGTGTCTTGGTGGTATATTGTTGTTTCAGGAGATTGCAAAGTGGTTGGCAAAGTTGTTACTGCGTAGAAGAAATTTATAGGAAGGGACACAAAAATAAGCAAATTGCCTAGAAACATTGCTATAATTTTAATATAATCATTATTATTGTTATCATTATTAGTTTCATCATTGTTAACATTATGCCTATTATTTTCATGTGTATTATCATGGTTATTATTACTTTTATTTTTGTTACTACTATCATCATCATCATCATCATCATCATTATTATTATCATTGCTATTATCATCATTATCTTTCTTATTATTGTTATAGCCTCATAGGCTGCATTTGAAATAAAGAAAGCTATCAATTAGCATTAGCAAGTGAAATCATCATTGAATATTATATCTCCCGGCCGACTACTCACAAAAGTAGCAAAATCAGAAGAAAAAGGGCGTTTGCACCAATAAAAAGAAGCGCCGTGTAATACCCGATCATCAATTATTTACTTGTTTAATACGCCTACTAAATTTATTAGGGGCATCAACATTAAAAACAAAATGTCCCATCATAAGAAAAGTAAAATAAGTATTGTTCCTATTTTTATTTTTTTTATCAAACTTGGAAATTGCCCAAATCGCAAATCTTGTGTCATTTTAAACGTTTACATTAACTAATTTAAGCTTCCTCATTCCCTTTGGAGGCACAAGAATAATGCCATCATCGAATTCTTCAATGTTCACAGTCCGTGAAGTTTGGTCACGTGCAAAATATATACACGTCATCATATTTAAAGATATAAGGTCTGCAGTTACCATATGCAGTATGTCAAAATTTGCTGAAACCAAGACTTCATGGTGGAAATACGATTAACGGTATACAAGTATCGCACTGAACGACCTGGATTCTCCCCCTCCCCCTCCCCCTCCCCTCCCCTACCTGTCTTTCGGAGAGACTTCGGTCGAGTGCAGGAAACATATGATGATAGCTTTTCCTATTGAGGCGACAGGTGGAGATCGAGTGCAAAGCATTACAAGGGGGGGTTTAACATTTTTAAATTGGGCCGAAAATTTCGCATCGACTCAGCCAGCCGCTGAATAAGCGGGGGGGGGGGGGGGGGGGGGGGGGGGGGGGGGGGGGGGGGAAGAGGACACTTTTTTTTTTTTTTGGTCTCGAAATTTGAAAATTTGATATTTTGCTCCGTTGGGGGGGGGGGGGTAAGGTCATCTTTTTAAGGTTAGCCATGGGAATAATTTTTTTTTTATTTTTTTTTTTTTTATTATTAAAAAAAAAAAAAAAAGGGGGGGGGGGGTTAGGGGGGTTTATACACATAAAAATACCAAAGGGGGGGGGTGTTATACCCCCAAAAACACCCCCCCCCCCCCCCTACGTACGCGCCTGGTTCACATATCCTGGTGCCTTGAGCCTACGCGGCTAGCTACCCTTGACTTCCATAAGGTTAGCAAAAGGATTTCATGGTCCTGACAAAAACGCCTAAAATTCAACCAAATGAGCTTCAGAGTTGACCTTGGTTTAGTTATTCTGCATCAAGAAGATTTTGTTGATCGTTTTAGTATTTTTTAAAGGGAAATTCAAAGAAGATCACAAATATGTCAACTAATGTATCACTAGAAACTGGTAAGCTAACAGAGTGCCATCGGACAAGTTTTAGATCAACTACATATCGGGTGATTTATAAAAATACAAATACAACCACCTCCATAGCAGCTGGGATATACGAGAGATTCGCCGGAAAAATAAACGATGTTTTAAGGACGTCACTATATGGACCAACACTGCCCAAGCAGACGACATCCCATAGAGAATGAACATAATTGCAAAGCTATTATTTCTCAAATTATAATGAGTTTAGTGTATATAAATGTAAGCATGTCAAACCATTCAAAAGGGGATATGACCCGATTCTGATAACTAAAATCGTTTGCTTGTAATACACAGAATAGGGGTTAATTAACAATCAAAGAAACCAGACTTTCAAAATGAAAACCCCCGGAATGATATTAAGGACGGCATTTGTTCCCTCTTGAAACGCCGAACATACCCGGTGTGTGCAGCTGAATATACAATGGCGTCTTATTTTGTTACCAGCGACAGATTCCTTTATTTTTGTATCGCTGCATTTGTCATCAAAATAAAACCAGCGCGGGGTTTAGAGTGAGGCAATAGATTATACATTTAGCCTGACGGTAGTGAAGTAAGAGAAAGAACTCAAGAGAAGATGAAAACACAGGCACTGAAAATGTGTGAGATGTCATGGGACATCGTCTGCTTGTGCAAGTCATGTCCATACTGTGATCTCACACATCTCAGCAGCGTTCGGAGAGCTCTTCAGGTGCTATATGCCGGGGGCTGTATTTAAGCGTTTTGTAACTTATGATAATCAGTACTTCGAATGTTTCCAAGCATTGAATTTTGATAACCTTGTCGAATCAAAGTTTCAACTTTGCAATAATGGAAAAAAGTTAGTTTTTAAAATCAATGAATATCTACTTTAAAAAATCATTTTAGAGCTGGAAGTATGAACTATTTTGGGCAAAAACTGTAGAATTATCCTAACCTGTCGGTCGTAAACTGTGTATACTCCATGCAGTGGTGGATCCAGGGGGAGCCCGGAGGGCCCAGGCCCCCTCCCCAGGCCATAAAGAAGGTTAAAGAAACAGACGGGCCCCTTAATAATATAGAATACCGGTATAAAATACGGTATGACTGAAGGTATTTACAAATTAAGCTTCGGTCGGGTTGGAGTTGGTAATAAAATACTGTTAGTTTATATTGCTTAATTGATTGAGGTTTAAACACGGACAGCGAAAAAATATCGGTCGGTTTAGAGTCGGTTGAGAATGAGGTAATCCCTGAACAAAAGCCTGGTATTAAGTAAGGATCTACGCCACTTGGTGGACTGAAAGTATTACACAAAATGTCCTTCGGTCGGGTTGGAGTGGGTTCAGAATCGGTTGGTGGTATACCTGTAGTTTTATTTACAAGTCAATCAATTACTTTTGAAAATACTTCGTTTTCCGTCCGAAGTATACAGTTTAGTTTTTAGTCTTGCGCGAGGTTTATATATTTCTCAAAGATAGGTCTATATATACTCACTTCCAAAGACAGCTATGTGTCCTGTCCCACCACAGCTCTCGGTAGGGTCTCCTGAACATGGGTCTGGACAGTTAGCATCTGATCCCACTCCATGTCTACTATAGTCATCACTCGCCTCACCACAGTAGCATTCAGTTCTATTTTCAACGCCAGCGTATGTATAGTCAGCTCTATTTGACTCGTTACAAAACTGGATGCAATTTGAAATGGTCATATCTGGAGCGCCAACTACATTGTCACCGGGAAAAATCGATCAGTCGTTACGTCCACAAAGCATCCAATATAACCTTCACCTGTACACAATTAGAAAAATAGTATATACAGGCTTCCAAGAAAAAACGAAACCGAGAATTATCGATGTTTTATCATAATTTATTCACATTTTATAATTCATAAATGACACATGTTAGAAAGCTTAGATCTCCTTTTTCATTTGATGCCATTTATATGATGCCTATTTCACGCATGAGTGATTGAAATGAATTGAAGAGAGGGAAACATGCATTAAGTCTGTCGTCTACGGCTGATTGTCAACGAAACGGAGTTAAGTCTTTTGTTAATTCCGTTTGTTGCTACGACAGACAGCCAGTGAAAACGATTCGTTTAATAAAAATAAGGAAATGCAACCACTACTTTAAACAAACAGAACTTTGGTTATTCCTAGCTCATTTTTCCTGACTGAGGTGTCATATGAAATGGCAGAAACCCAATTTTCTAGAAATGTGATTACTCTTTGAAATTCAAATACTGTCCGCCAAATGATTTTTTGGTTTCCTCTCTTCAAATTCATTCAATCACTCATGCGTGAAAAATGCATCAATCAATGGTATCAAATGAAAGAGGAGGATCTAACCTTCTGTATATGCTATGGTACCAAGCGCGTCCAACATTTCATTGTCTTCTCCGATACAACATGTAATGTTAGTAAGTTATAATTTGTATCCCTTTTAAACATATTCAAGGAGTCTTTTAAAAAAAGGGCACAGAATATGCTTCATTGTACCACCTGCAATTGATATCGAACATATTGAATATTTCAAAACAGAATATGGCGGATCTTGTCATAAAATTACCCCGATTTCTCAATTTGCGCCCACTATGGGAGCATTCCAGCCAGAAGCCATTTTACAAGCGCACATCAATGTTCGCTTCTTACCGTTAAACCCATTTGGCACCTGGGTGGAGAGAAGCAATTTAGACATAAAGGACATAAAGTTGCTTGCCAGGGATAGAACCCACGACTTTCGAATGTCCAGTCAAGGGTTTAAGACACTCAAATTCCCCTATTCAGCAGATTCTGAATTGGTAAAAAATCCCCATGTATATTTTGTATCAATTTAAATGTTATTACCATGACACGAAACTGCTCTGCTGTTGAACACGAACTTGTAAAAACCCAGTTACAGCCAGTCAAATCAGCTCATCTGAAAATGAAGAAAGAAAAGTACTTCGGCGTTAACTCTTCGAATTCTCTTGGAATCTCAATTATATCAAATTACTGTAAAATGTATTTTAATGCTTTTAATGCTTTTAGAATAAATCAGGAGGCAAGGAAAATCTACCCCCAAACTACACTTTTGAACATTAATTTATGTATCGAAACCAGAATAATTGTAAAGGAATGTGTGAGTTTTTTGTTTTAACGCGGCACATGATTGTACAACTATTATACTCTACATAATGCGACGGGTCATGGTAGAGCAGACATCTCGTAACCGGAAGATCCCGAGTTCGAAACTTAGGGAGCCTTCCACAGTTGCGACTGTGCCGCGACGCGTCGGGGCGCAGAGCAGGATATGAAGGAGCGTCTTTTGCGCCCATTTGCGCCTTTTTGCGTCGGATACGAGAGGACTCCAATTGGTTTTCAGCTCATTCAAATCTGGCTTTTGTTTGGAGTCTCATTGTTACGAGATTACCCCGCCGGGGCGCGTCCCGGCGAAGCACTTGACATTTGTGAATGGGAGCTTAAACTTTGAAAAGCTTTCGCGCCCTTTCGCCCCGGTCCGGCGCATTAGTTATTCATGTAGTGCTCACTGGTGTGTCGCTCGTCTTGCAATTTAATACAAATTGATTTGTTCATGAAAAAAAAAAACTTTATTTTATACTTACCCCACTCTCTCTGACATTGTTTTCCTCATGCATGTTTTGACACTTTATTTGTTTCATATTTCATTAAATTTGTGTATATTTCCTTTTCATAGCGATGTTATCGCATGTTTCGGTTTTCTTGTTTTGGTTTTCTTTAATTTTCGTTGTATCTTGTAAACAATTCTGTCGTATGATCAATTATAAATCATATAATTATATCATCAATCTGTTATTTCAATACAGGTCCTTTAAATCTTCGTAAAATTAGAGAACGTATTTTAAAATCCGTGATGTTGAAAATGATGGGGATACCGCAAACTCCCAGGGAGATTACCAATTGCAAATCAAAAAAGTAAATTATGCCTAAATCGTAAGAATAGAGCATTCATTAAAAAAGAAGAGCGAGACCAGGGAATGATGTTTGAAATTTCACCTCGAACATCTCAAGAAGAAATTAGTTTATCATTCTGTTCCAAAGAAATTGTATCGAATATTTCTTTGCGAAGAAGGGGGGGGGGTGAGGGGTTGCAGCCGCGGCCAGTTTTTAGATCTAGGTCATTGTTGTGAAGAATTAAAATACGTATATATTTTGATGAATTGGGGCCACGTGGTATCGAAAAAAGCGTAGTGCGGTTTCTAGAACAAATAAAGGCCATGACAATCGTTGAAATGCTTCTCATAACATTGTTACAGAACTGTCCGCTGTTTAAATAGGATCCATGTGTTGGTATCAAGTAGAAGACGGAATTTATAATGATTGCGTTATTTTGGGCCATATTTGATGGGGGCTAGCCCTTATTCTTCTAGTTCTACTGGGTCATCAAGAAACATAAATAGTGTTTGAAATTTTCCCGCAATCCCTTTAGCGCCGAGGATAGAAAAGCCTATAGAAAAGTCAGATGGACAATAGCAATTTATGTTGGTCGAACAATCGGGAAGAAATACTGGACAAACAGGTACACGCTATTAGCCCACACTATTAATATAAAATCTGGCTATTGTTTGGAGACTCATTGACATTGTTACGAGATAACCCCGCCGGTGCACTTACGGGTGAAGCGGTTGACATTTTTCGCGCCCGTTCCGACGCATTAGTTATTCCTGTAATCCCCGCGTGTGTGTCCGCTATTGTCTTGAAAGATTTGACTCTAAATTATTCTCTTTGGCTACTGATTTGTTTTATTATCATTTTACGTACATGACATTGATTTACATGTAGATTGATTTACATGTAGATTGTTGTTCTGATTGTTTATTTCCCCTCCCAACATCAAAGTTTTGTAGGCGTTAACGTTGGCATGATTGTTCATTTCTGTACATGAATTAATGAGTTCAATATTTTTTTGTATTAATTTGTTCACGAACAAAACAACACGATACGTACAATTGTATTCCTTTAGTTTGTTTTGACACATTATTTGTTTCATATTGCATTTATTTTGTTTTTTTTCCAATTATTGGTTGCCGTCCCGATATGTTTGCAATATTTTCTTTCTCATATTGAAGCGAGTTTATCATATGTTGTTCTGTTTTCTATTTTGTTTTATATTATTTCGTTGTATATTGAAAAGCGGTCTGTCATCCGATCAAAATAGGTCACATATCTTTATCATCAATCTGTTCTTTCTCATGCAAGATCGACTTAAAGAATAGAAACGTAGGTTCTCTAAATCTTTGCAAATCAGCTATTGTATTTCGAAACCCGTGATTTAAAAATGATACTTATAATCAAAGACATTGTAAGATTCTCCTTGAATAAGATTATAGGGCGTTTATAAATTGCCATACGAAACAAACAAACATCTGCAAATTAAAACCCGTATTGTCGGGAGCCTGCATCATCAAAACGTTTCGGTAATGGAAGACGCTCTTTTCGAAATGCACTCACCAAAATGTGCTCGAATCATAAGGAACACTGTCTCCCTGCAAAATTATAAAACTAATTTTAAACGAAAAATGAATATCTGCATCATCGGGAAAATCGCTATACTCCCAGAGAGATTATCATTTGCAAATCAACACTGTAAATTATGTTTGAATCGTATGGGACTTTGATTTGACGTTTCACATTTGTTAGCTAGCGCTAGTAAAGTCTTTTGTTTTAACGTGCACTGTATATAGTTATAAGGCCTGAACACGTCATGTTCACATTGGCTGTTATATAGCATACGGATATTATAGTACATGTAACTTTTAAAAGCACTTTGTTATTGCAACACAATGACAAAAGACAGCTCTTTGAGCATCTAATAGTTGTTGCGCCCATCAGTGGCGTACGCAGGATTTTTTCAAGGTGGGGAGGGGGTTAAAATCTGACCCAAATTTCGCAACGACTCAGCTTTATTATTTTGCTCTCTGTACCTAGCTTTCTGTACCGTTCGTTTTTTTTTTACCTGACTGCTATATATGAAGCATGTGTCTATGCTCTGAATTAGGCAAACACAGGCGCGTAGCCAGGGGGGGCGGTGGGGGCGGTCGCCCCCCAAAACGCCGGCCAAAAAAAAAAAAAGAGAGAGAAAGGAGAAGAAAAAAAAAAGGACGTAGGAAGAAAAAGGGAAAAGGAGTCGAGAACGGTACAACGAATCGCCAAAGCTTCGCGCGGGAAGGGGAAACTGAGTTCAAATTTAGGATTAAGGGTCGGGAAAGGTACAACGAATCGTCTTCTTTCTCTAATAATTTACTGAAACGTCAAAACTGCGCACGAGAGGGGGGGGGGGAACAGAATTCAGACAATGATTAAGAGTCGAGAAAGGTACAACGAATCGTCTTCTTTTCTCTAATAATTTAATAAAACGTCAAAGCTTCGCGTGAGAGGGGGGAGGGACTGAATTCAGACAAGGATTATGAGTCGAGAAAGGTACAACGAATAGTCATCTTTCAAAGCTTCCGCGCTTCGCGCGGGAGGGGGACTGATACAGATAAGGATTATGAGTCGGGAAATTAGGTACAACGAATCGTCTCTTTTCTCTAATATTTGATGAAACCTCAAAGCTTCGCGCGAGAGGGGGGAGGGACTGAATTCAGACAGGATTATGAGTCGAGAAAGGTACAACGAATCGTCTTCTTTCAAAGCTTCCGCGCTTCGCGCGGGAGGGGGGAAACTCCCCCCTCCCTGCACCCACCCCCCTAGGGAGCGCGCTTCGCGCGCTCTTTAAGAGATTCGCACGCTTCGCGTGCTCACTACACGCCCCCCCTAAAAT